CTTCTATTCTTTCCTCCTATTCTAGAACGGACTCAAAGAGCATCTTGTTTCATATTGTTTTTCATTCTTTCCATTATTCTTCCTCTCTTTTATTCTTTCCTTCTATTCTTTCCTCCTATTCTAGAACGAACATCAAAAGGCATCTTGTTTCATATTGTGTTTTCTTTTCATTTTTTCATTCTTTCCATTATGCTTCCTCTCTTTTATTCTTTCCTCCTATTCTTTCCTCCTATTCTAGAACGAACCTCAAAGAGCATCTTGTTTCATATTGTGTTTTCTCATTCTTTTCCGTATTTCTTCCTCTCTTTTATTCTTTCCTTCTATTCTTTTCCTCCTATTCTAGAACGAACTTCAAAGAGCATCTTGTTTCATTGTGTTTTCTCATTCTTTTCATTTTCTTCCTCTCTTTTATTCTTTCCCTCTATTCTTTCCTCCTATTCTAGAACGGACCTTTCATATTGTGTTTCTCATTCTCTTCGTCTCTAATTGTTTTCTCATTCTTTCCACTATTCTTCCTCTCTTTTATTCTTTCCTTCTATTCTTTCCTCCTATTCTAGAACGAAACCTCAAGAGCATCTTGTTCATATTGTGCATTTCTTTCGTCTCTAATTGTTTCTCATTCTTTCCATTACGCTTCCTCTCTTTTATTCTTTCCCTCTATTCTTTCCTCCTATTCTAGAACGGACTCAAAGAGCATTGTTTCATATTGTTTTTTTTATTCTTTCGTCTCTAATTGTTTTCTCATTCTTTCCATTATTCTTCCTCTCTTTTATTCTTTCCTTCTATTCTTTCCTCCTATTCTAGAACCAACTTCAAAGAGCATCTTGTTTCATATTGTGTTTTCTCATTCTTTCGTCTCTAATTGTTTTCTCATTCTTTCCATTATTCTTCCTCTCTTTTATTCTTTCCTCCTATTCTTTCCTCCTATTCTAGAACGAACTTCAAAGGGCATCTTGTTTCACATTGTGTTTTCTCATTCTTTCCGTTATTCTTCCTCTCTTTTATTCTTTCCTTCTATTCTTTCCTCCTATTCTAGAACGAACTTCAAAGGGCATCTTGTTTCACATTGTGTTTTCTCATTCTTTCCATTATTCTTCCTCTCTTTTATTCTTTCCTCCTATTCTTTCCTCCTATTCTAGAACGAACTTCAAAGAGCATCTTGTTTCATATTGTGTTTTCTCATTCTTTCCATTATTCTTCCTCTCTTTTATTCTTTCCTTCTATTCTTTCCTCCTATTCTAGAACGAACATCAAAAGGCATTTTGTTTCACATTGTGTTTTCTCATTCTTTCCATTATTCTTCCTCTCTTTTATTCTTTCCTTCTATTCTTTCCTCCTATTCTAGAACGAACCTCAAAGAGCATTTTGTTTCATATTGTGTTTTCTCATTCTTTCCACTATTCTTCCTCTCTTTTATTCTTTCCTTCTATTCTTTCCTCCTATTCTAGAACGAACTTCAAAGGGCATCTTATTTCACATTAATTTTTCTCATTCTTTCCATTATGCTTCCTCTCTTTTATTCTTTCCTCCTATTCTCCTATTCTAGAACGAACTTCAAAGGGCATCTTGTTTCACATTGTGTTTTCTCATTCTTTCCATTATTCTTCCTCTCTTTTATTCTTTCCTCCTATTCTTTCCTCCTATTCTAGAACGAACTTCAAAGGGCATTCTTTCGTCTCTAATTGTTTCTCATTCTTTCCACTATTCTTCCTCTCTTTTATTCTTTCCTTCTATTCTTTCCTCCTATTCTAGAACGAACCTCAAAGGGCATCTTGTTTCACATTGTGTTTTCTCATTCTTTCGTCTCTAATTGTTTTCTCTTTCCTTTATGCTTCCTCTCTTTTATTTTTCCTCCTATTCTTCCTCCTATTCTAGAACAACTTCAAAGGACATCTTGTTTCATATTGTTTTCTCATTCTTTCCATTATTCTTCCTCTCTTTTATTCTTTCCTTCTATTCTTTCCTCCTATTCTAGAACCAACTTCAAAGGACATTCTTTCGTCTCTAATTGTTTTCTCATTCTTTCCATTATGCTTCCTCTCTTTTATTCTTTCCTTCTATTCTTTCCTCCTATTCTAGAACGAACCTCAAAGAGCATCTTGTTTCATATTGTGTTTTCTCATTCTTTCCATTATTCTTCCTCTCTTTTATTCTTTCCTCCTATTCTCCTATTCTAGAACGAACTTCAAAGGGCATCTTGTTTCACATTGTGTTTTCTCATTCTTTCCATTATGCTTCCTCTCTTTTATTCTTTCCTTCTATTCTTTCCTCCTATTCTAGAACGGACCTCAAAGAGCATTTTGTTCCATGTGAATTAATTTTATTGTCAAAGTACACATCAAAAGGAACAGAGCTATGGGTATGTTGCCATGGAGAGCATTTTGACTTTTCATTTCATAGAATATTGCATAAAGTAAAATATTATGATAATTTTGATGATAATGATTAACATTATGATGATGATAATGAATATAATGAATATGGTAATGATAATTAATGA